TTTTCCTCTTCTTTTCTTAATATTCTCAATTATTTTATCATTATTAGTTTTTGTTATATATATAATGAATTAAACCAAACAAAAATGAACAGATGTCTAATTTTTTATTAAGAATTAAATCATAAGATTACAATTTCATTCGTCATTATTTATAACACTTTTGTTCTTTATTTATTTTTATCATTTTTAATTTTTCCCCCTCACACAATTTATTATTATTTTTTTTTTAGTTGGAGGAAAAATGTACATGAGGAAGTGAAATCTAAAAAGAGCTTGGCGAAGAGAAGAAGATTTTTGTATGACTTTTATTTGCTTTTATTTCATATAAAATTTTTTTATTTTATCAAAAATATTTTTTCAAAAAAATAATAGAATATATATTTTTTTGTTTTGAATGTAGATTTACAAAAGAATATGACGATAAGGAGATAGGAGAAGATCCAATAGAATGGGTTGATGAGAAGGCAAAATAACTCTTTGATGAATATATTAGAAATATAAGAAGTTTAAGGGATAATTATATTAGTTTATCGATTTTTCTAAATATCAATATCAATCAAATAAAGTTTGATGCTGTTTTACTAATTTAGATTACATATACATGCTTTATTTTTATTTTTTGTAGCACATATTTTGAAATTGATATTTCATAATAATAACAACAACAACAACAACAACAACATCAATAAATGCAATCTCTCCATTAAATGGGAGTAACATGCATGTTTATCCAATTATTTGATGTATATTGAACCAATATATTCACTATTATTTAAACAAATTTTTTAAATTTTCTACTACATGTATATTAAACAAAGGAAGAGAAAGAGACGCAGCTTAAGAAATAGAAAACATTAATTCATAGAATATTAAGCATACTAAGCATACTTTAAAAAAGTACTTAAGAATACTAAGCACTGAAGGACAAAAAATAGAATACTACGCATTAATTCATAAATATTAAAAATACTTAAGATTAGAAAAGACTAGTTTGATATAAGTTATAATTTATTTGATCGTTCTACTTCATTTTAAATAAGAAAAAAAAAATGAAAACAATAACCTAACTAATGAATAAAATTAAATTTGATAGCAGAAAGAGATGGCGGGATTATGGAAAGAAATGGTATAATTTATCATTAGGGCTAATTAGTATTTGTTTAAATAAATCTGAATTAATTCATATTTCATTTGTGACTATTATTTATTTAGTTGATGTTTTCCAACTAATTATTCACAAAAAAGGAAATTTTTAAGAATTTTAGGAAATAAAAAAATGATATAAAAATAGTCAAGAGAAAAAAAAAAGTATTACCTTTGCAAATATGGCTGACTTAATAACAGATTCAATGGAATATTATAAACAGTTATCGGACCCAAAATAGATAATTTTTAGCAAAAAAAATTAGTATTAAGAGAAAAGTGAATGAACACCAGATGAAAAGAAAATGAGTTTTTCATCAATAATTAAGATAAAAATAAAAATTACGACATCCTAACATTTAAAATATTCAAAATTTTCTAAACATAATCATATGAGATTGAACAAAATAAGAAATGTGCCGAAATAAAACAATG